TGGGGGGAGAGGAGGGGTTGGGGAGGGGGAGGGGGAGGGGGTGGGCGGAGGTGGTGGTGTGGGATAGGGGGTGGGGCGCGCGCAGCGCGCCGTGCCAAAAACACTTGCGACTTACGTGTTTAATCAACTTTACCGCGGGAAGGAATTTTCGTCCTCGAATCTGCTTGTAGTGAACAATAATGAAGCGAGATCCACTCCACACCTCTGACATAGGGTGGGTAGGGTTATTTTTAACGAAGTGGAGCCCCCCCGTAGGGGGGGCGGAACATACTGTCTCCATGCATGTACTTCCATGACGTACGACAGATGGAGATGGGAGGAGAGATATAAGATTCTCCACGCATACATTTTTTCACCTACATTTGGTGGCAGCGAATGACTTATATGTTTTCTTAATAACTTTTTAACAAAGAACGAGCAACAGCTAAATACTTCAATAATTTTCATAGTGAACAAAGTAAATGTTTATTCATTTTCATTAAGTACATTATTTGTTAATGGATATAACTGTGACATGATCGTAAAAAATTGATCTATTCTCTCAGAATAGTTATATATACGTTTAAACATAAACTCTGCTATGTAATGGTTATAATGTTCCTCTTTGATTCCGTAACGTGGTATTCCACTTCGCATATCACGCCATAAACGTTCGATGTTTTGGGTGTGCACACCAGTAATTGGATCCACAAAATTTTCTGAGTGATTAACCGTAAAATGTTTAAACCCCTCATTTTTTAAATTAGTGTATGCACGCCAACAATCACTATAAATTGTTGTTCCTGGAGCAATACGACGACGTATTATATTTATCAGTGTAGATTCAGAGCGATCACTAACACGCACAACAAATATGCGCTTAGTTCCCCGTTCTAATGCGCCAAATACCCATTGTCCTTTTACAATTCGTCCGCGATTGTATTTTCGTTTACCAATTTTCGCTTCATCGATTTCTACAATACAGTCAGGACCACCAATCATATTTTCTTCTTGATCTAGCCACATCGACAACAACTAGTAATAAGAAAATAATATAAGACAAAATAAAACCGTGATTATTATAATTATTGAAAAAAATTAAATTATTTACCTCTCGACAGAAGTTACTCCAATCGACTACACTTGTAGAACTCATATTTAATTCATGTTCTAAAAACATTTGTTCTGAATGCTTTAGTGTTATGAAATATCCTATAAAACGGCAAACTTTTTCGAAACCTAATCGAAATTGTGCAAACCAAGTTCCATGTAATGCAGACAATTCGAAGTTACATGTCATTAATTGTCGCTTTTTTTTGCGAACTATTTTATAATATTTCTTAGTACAATGAAATATTACTGTCTGTGTCTGATTTATAGTTCGAAAATGCAATACGTTTTTACATTTTGGACACTCAATTTCACGCCGAATTACTTGTTTATCACATAAATAATTTAGTAAAGAATCTAAATTATATGTTAAATGTAAGAATTCGTGTAGACGCATGATGACTCGGCGAGAGTAACACAAAGACTGGTTTGTAATATTTTGTATACCGAGATCCACCCCCACCCACCCTTGCATGCGGAGAGGTGCGGTAGTCCCTGTTTGTTTACGTTTCGGAGACACAGGCTGAAAAAGGATACAAATAATAATATATAGGTTTGTAACATTCCACGCATACCGAGAGCCACCCCCACCCATCCCTGCATGCGGAGAGGTGCGGTAGTCTCTGTTTGTTTACGTTTGAAAGTCTTCATATATTTCCGCCAAAGAATATTTATCATTCACTTAGAGATCGTCACAGCGTATAGAAGTGTTTCGGAACGTGAACAATAATGAAGCGAGATTCACTCCACACCTCTGAGGGTGGGTAGGGTTATTTTTAACGAAGTGGAGCCCCCCCGTAGGGGGGGCGGAACATACTGTCTCCATGCATGTACTTCCATTTCCATGACGTAC